AGTGAGTGTGCTCCAGAATTGTTGTAAATACACCATCAGAACAGGTGTATTTGCGGATAAAGAATATGATATAGGATGGCCTTTCAGAATTTCTAGAATGATCGGGTATTCGGCTGGCATAGCAAAAGAAAAGACATGGTTATTGGGTTTTATGTCAAGATATTTAATCTAAGGGAAAAGAGTTTCTGATGGGATAGGTTGATTGGGCGGGTGAATAGGAATATTATCAGATCTAACTGAAGGAACATGAGATTTCTCGTCAGATTGATGTCGTTGATTCGCCATTAACCTGTAAAAAAAATTTAAAAATATTAGAAACCATTTTATTCAAAAAAAATTAAACTCTAAAACAAAATTAAGACAATTAAAAAAAATTGACACGGGAAAAAATAAAACTCAAAAAAATAAAACTCAAAATAAAACAACTAAGACACGACACTTAGAAAAAAAATGAAAGTTATTGACCGGATTAGGAGTCCGGAAAACATACGAACAAATCTAACACTTAGAAGAAAAACGATTGTGACCGGATTAGAAATCCGGACAACAAAGCATTCACACATGAAAGAACTTAAATCGGACAATCATCAACCGGATTAAGGTTGATCGGATTAAACTCCGATCACCTTGTCCGGTGAAATATCCGTTCAACACACAAAATATTCACAGTAAAAACTCAAAATACATACTAAGAACAAAACAAAATACAAACTAAACACTCAAAATACACACAAAAAGAAATCGAAATACACAAAATACACAATCAAACAGAGATAAAACCGTTTTTTATTTATGTTTATCCTCTTATTTTTCAATTTCAGATTCGATATGAATGTATTATGAAGATTAAGTCCAAACAGTCCACAAGTTCAATATAAATCCATATGATCAAGGTATATGAATAAGAAATCAAATGATGTAGACCTTGATTAACAAAKATGGAACAATAGAATGGATTGACARAGTAGATCTTTGAACGATGAACCAGAGTTGAGCGGAGACGACGATGAACAGTTAAAGGAGATAAAAAGTAAAAAGTAAAAATGAGTCGACTATTTATAGTCAAAGTCAAAAACCGTTCAGATTCTAAATCGCTCAAAGCTTATCCGGATTAGAATAAATCGGTCAAGAGGTGTCCRATTTATGTGATGAAAAATATCTAAGTGATAATTCGGACAATAAATCGCTCAAGGCATGTACGATTTAAAAGAATACCGGTCAAGACTTGTCCGGTTTAAAGATAAATAACTCAATGAAGAAAGATAAATCGCTCAAGTGTGGAATTAAACCGCTCAAACATTGAACGATTTAAAGACTTGGAAAAATGAACTCAACAAACGATTTAATGAATACGGACACATGAACTCATCGATTTAGTTATCCGCTCAATCCCTTGCAAAGTATATCTAATCTTATCCGGATAAGAGTTTCTCATTTAGCCTTTTGTCCGGATGTCTAAATCGGACAATAAATCGCTCAAGTGTTGTCCGGATTTTCAATAAATCGGACAAGCATTGTCCGGATTAGACTAAATCGGCCAAACACTTATATTTCAAAACTCAATTATCTTTCAAAAATTAAATAATACTTAAAATACATGTAAGAAAAATATAAGTTGTTAGTTTAAAACAGATAAAATTCACTTCCCCTCAAAACATGATCAGATAAAAGAAAACATATTCCCCTCAAATATAGATTCCCACAATCAAGAAATTTAAAATCAGATAGGAAAAAATTGAAATACTGACTTGTATTTAAAAAATACAGATATTTGA